TGATTCGCGCCAATTGTCTGGAGCGAATCATCACGTCGCGGACGGTGCGAAGGTGGAATCCGGTGGAAGGCAGTTCTTCCGAACCCGTGGCCAAGTCACGGTGGTGCATTCACGGGCGCAAGGATCCAGACCTTGTCCCAATGTCTGCGTACCCCCCGACTCCAGGGACCACCTCCATTCACGCGCTGAGTCAAAGCATGATGAATTTAAGGGGGCCGAAGGGAGATATCGTCGATGTCAAGAATGGGTTCTGCTAGTCAGACCCTACGCAGCGCACTCGATGAGATACGCGCGCCCAGCCGCGCGAAGGCCTAAGGTCGAGAGGGACTCCCTGATCAGATTGCTCGTTAGCGCGCGCGGACTGGATGACCCCCCCCCCTTGCTTGGAGAAGAACGATCGTGAGCTATCTCAAGGGTGGAGGATTCTCTCGGCGCCTGCTCGAACCGCGCTGGTGGGTTCGATACGGGAAGGAAGGCGAGATCCTGAATGCGATTCTGCTCGAGACCGATGATCGTTCCGTCGGGGGGATCTCGAGCGTGGATCAGCGCGCCCCTCAAGGGCAGGTTCCCGTTCGAAAGATCCCGAGACTGTCATCGGGGCCTCGCGTTAGATGCTGGCCGCAGCGTGCGCCCCAGGGATCAGTGCTGCACCCTTGACCAATATACAAATTCGAAGAAGTGAAGCCGACAAGGGTAGGCTAGGTGCCAAGAGCTCCGAGCTCAGTCACGACGACTTCAAGTCCCTCAGGTCCCAGGCACACATACTGAACTGGCTGGGCGGGGAGGCGCGCCCAGAAGCCGCCGGCGCCGCCAGTATCTTAGCCAGTCGTCTGAAGGCCCCCACCACTGGAGAAGTGACCCGCGCTTGCAAGATGGTCCGACATTCGAGGGCCACCGCCTCGAGGGGGCGCGCGATTTGGAAGCTCGATCCGAAAAATGTGTTTCGCTTCCTTCTCGGACGCCAGGGGGGCGGGCGCTTGCGAGGACCAGGTTGACGACGAGGGATCCCTGGAAGATCCGACGCAGGGCGCCTGGATGACTCTGGCTGCGGACATGAGCAGGATAGATATTCGTGCCGTCAAGGCCTCTGTGCTGGCCTGGCGTATCTCGAAGTGGCGGCGGAAAAGTGTCCTTCACGCTTGCGGGGTAAACGCAAGCGTTCGCGGCGGCAATGGCGGAAGTAGACATGATCCAAGTCTTGTACAGGGACGTGGTTTTCGGGATGCGGATGTGCTCGACCATTGTCGTGGTTCGGGTCCTTTGACGACGGTCCCCCGGCGGGACTGTAGGTTGGGGGGCGGCGAGGAACAAGTCCACGTCGTGGACGCCAGAAGTATTTACGACACCATGTTCAAAGAAGGGAACGCCAGTGCACGCGATCGGAGAACGGCATCGGATCTTGCTGCAGTGTGCGAGGCTCTAGAGAATGCTAGTGGTCACATCCGTTGGATCCCGCATGGAAGGCTGCCGGTGGACGGAATGACCAACGACGAACGCCAGCAAAGAAAATGCCGCGCTGGTCAAATTGCTCGCGCATGGTAGAATAGTGTTTGTGGACGAGGGCGAACTCCCGTCGCTGCGACAAGCCCGAGGCCAAAGACCGGTCTCAAGCAGCCTCCCGGCGCGCGTTGGAGCAGGACAAACAGCTTGTCGCTTGGACTTCGGCAACCGAATTGGACCCAGGCTCAGAGTCTGTGCACAGGCCCCCTCTCTCTCCCTCACTGCTTCTATAGATGTGCGGATACATCAGTGTCACCTGACCCTGAGGACCCAGGGCTTCTGATTTGTTGTATAAATGTCTCTTGTGGTACTAAACCGAAGGGAAAGTTTAACACATGTGGCGGGTATCCTACTTTCGCGGGTCGGGTTTAGCAGTTAATTCAAGAATGTGACGACCCGAGTCTTCCGAGTTATGGTCCCAGAGACGTTCGATTTTTATATGTACGTTTCGCACTTTGGCTCAGGGCAAAAAGGCTTTCGCTCATCGTGCTGCTGCCACATCTTGGGGCCTCTTGGGGGTGGGAACCTTTGGGGGGGCCTCCGTGGTGCCTCTTGGGGACTCTTGGGAGCCTCTTGCCAGTCTCTGGGGTCATCTTAGCACAAGAGCGCTCGTGTTGCCATATCGGGCTCGCCGCTTTGGAGTCGAACAGATAAACAACAATAGGCATGCGGGCCGCCCCAAAAACGCGCGGCCGCGCCCAGAAGTCGGGGGCTTATGCCTGCTAGAGAGAGTGAGCAAGAATCCATGAGGTCGTTCCGTTCAGCGCCTCGCAGCACGGCGGCGGACAACACAGCAGGTCATAAAGCGCGTTGCGTTAGCAAGCATATTGATAGCAGAGCCTCTCTAAAAAATGTCACAGCACACCAGAACACATCACAGCGCAGCACTTCACGGCACAGTTTTGAGTATTGAAGCAAAGTACCGCGAGCCAATGTCAAACAACACGTTGGGTCGTATTGCATCAATCTGTGCAGCGTCGCACTGCGTAACATAGAAGAGCATGGCATTGCATAGCTAATCACGACACGTCACAGCACACAGCTGCTCCCACACTTATCATTTGGGCCGCGCCTGGTGCATATTCTCATGATGTACTGTCGAATGCCCCGGTGGCCGGCTTTACAGTGAGGCCCAAGTGTGACATGGGTTTCATGTAGATAGTGGCCTGTTCACCCCTATCAGGCCATCGGGAGGCGCAGGGCCAGGGGAAGCGATCGAGCCCCGATGGCCGACTTAGAATGGGCAGTGGGGTGGTTCGGCGCGGGGGTGGCATTAAGTTTCGATCGCCGATTTGGCAAACTGGCCCAAGTGTCGCAAGTGTCATCCGGGTGCCCAGCCGGGGGGGACGACTTTGAACCCCGATGGCGCACTTGATATTCTAGCCCAATTGTCAGTTGAGTACTCGGGGGCCAGGCGGAACGAAGCCCGGTAAGCCAATTCGACGATTGGGCCCCAGTGCCAGGTTAGTAATGAGGGGGCCCAGCCCCTGCGGGGAGGGGGGCGTGGTTGGAGCCCCGAGAAACAACCGGACAATGCGGCCCCACTGTCAGATCGGCCATCGGGGGGGGTTGGCCGCGGTGGCGGAGCAAAGCCCCGATCGCCGTTTGACAAGCAGCAGAAGAGAACCAGGCCGTCTGCGCCGACATTCGCGCGCAAGCTTCCCGCGTGAGGTCGCGCGTAAGCGGCCACGGATCCAACGCGGCGTGCCGCGCCGGCGTCCCGCGCAGGCCGCGGCGGTAGGTCGGTGTGTCGTCCCGCGTAGGACCCAAGGATCCAGGGGGCGCCGATCGTCGAGAGTACACCCTAGGCGATGCTTAAGAAAACCTATTTTTTCGGCCAGAGTCTCGATTATTCTTAACGTTTCGATATAGATCCTAAGATTTGAATCGACATTCTGGGTTTTTATTCAAATTCTGAGACTATGAATTTCTTAACCCATGATTTCTTAAGCATTTCGCAGGGTGTATGTATCTTTGGGGGTCCCGGGCCCCAAACGCCCAAACGTTCGCTTGAAACGTTGGACGTCGTTTCCTCTTTCGTGTTCAACGCCCAGAGATCCGACGCTCCGGAAAAGATGGAACGCGCGGTCTTTGGCCGTGTTCGGCGTCTGGGGGCCCTCGCTGGGCCTCGGGAGCGTCAGAAGTCGACTGAGGGCGAAAACTTGGCCCCAGGAAAGCGGTCCAGACCTCTGGGGCCCGCGCATCGGAAAATTTGGAGCGGCCAGATGTCTGGGTTCAAGATTCGCTATGTTTTTGTTTGTTGTGGTTCCCTAGGCGGGGCTCGAACCCAATCTACTCCATCTCCGCTTTCCTACTTCATGCTTCCACGTACTTTTTCCGACTGGCGGGTAAAGGGGGGAAGCAATCTCGCACGCCAGTAGCCCCAAGGGGTCGGCGCATTTGGGAAGGTGCTAACAATACATCCAGTCTCGGCTTCTCCCTATTGTAGTGGCCTTCGGCCAGCGCCGCCGATCCGGGTCGCTTGGGGTGCCCCCCAGACTGGGCGGCGACATTCCGCCGACAGACACGCACGCACACGCTCGCAGACATTACGCGCACACACGCACGCACGCACGCACACACGCACACACGCACACACGCACACACGCACACACACACACACACACACACTACACCCCAAGGGGCCGGCGCATTCGGGAAGGCGTCGACAAAACATCCAGTCTCGGCTTCTCCCTGTTTCGGCTTCTCCTCGCCCACCCCTCGCGCGCGCTCGCGCCGTGGCCTTTTTCGCGCCGTGGCAGCGGGCCCCGCACGCCTGCGCAATGCAGCCGTGGCCACCCCACCGTGGCCGGCCTCCGCGCCCGGCCGCCGCGAGGTAGCGGCCGCGAGGCGGGAGGGTTTCGGAGCACGGGCCACGCTCGGGAGGGGCAGCGCGGAAGAGACGATGGCAGCATATCGTGGGAAACGTCGGCTCGCGCCGATGAGGGTCGACCAGCGTAGATATAGCGTCGATTCGCAAGAGGCACAAAGATGAGATGGCTTGGGTGACTCCCACGAGTTGCCTCCGAAGGCGGGGGCGGGCGCCGCAAGAGGGTCGATGCCGACGGGAGCCTCATGCAAGCGCCTCTGGCTGCTCTCAGGTGGGCGCCTGTTTGAGAGGTCCGAGGGGGGGCCTTCGGGTCGGGGAGTAAACTGGGCCGAAGTGTGCTTTCCGCCTCCGAGGCACACTGGCAGCGTCGGCGCAGCGGAGACCCTGGCGCCCGAACGCCGCCAGTGGCCCGGAGTCGGCCGCCATCGAACGGTCGGCGCCATGCGAAAGCCGCGGATCGTTCCAGGCCACAGGCGCCGCGCCGTTGGCTCCGACGCGCGGCCTGCCCTCTCGGCGAGGGCGCCTCGGCCACCAGGGCGCATTCCGCCCAGGGCGCGGTGGGTTTGCCGCGGGGTTCCCGCGGTGCCGCCGCCGTCTGCTTGGGGCACGGGACGCAGGGTTGACCGTGGGTGTGCCGTAGTGTCGGTTTCGTCCCATTGGGCGCCTCGAAATGAAGGCCGCGGCGCGGACGGGCCGATGCCGCCGCCAAGGGATTGCCACCGCGCCTGGCGGCCTTCCGCCAGGCGCGCCGCCGCCGCCGCGGAGATCGAGTTCGAGGTCGAGGTCTATTCGTTGCCGTCGTCGTCGCCGTCGAGGTCGAGGTCGAGGTCGAGGACTTGTCGTCGTCATCGTGGCCGTCGCGGTGTCGTCGTCGTCGTCGCGACGGGGCTCTTCTGAAGGCCAGCGGGTCTCTGTGAGAGGCCCGGCCGCCCTCCGAGGAGGGCCTGCCCCCCCTCTGCATCCGACCCTCGGCGGCCCACCGAGGGACGCGGGCCCTCGCAAGACTCGGGGCGGGTGGGCCTCGCGCCTCTCGAAGTGCGGAGCTCCGCCCAGGCTGAGGGCAACGTCTATTCGTCGTCGTCTTCGTCGTCGTCGTCGAGGTCTCGTCGTCGTCCCCACTGCAGCGGGACGCGCGACGCGGACCCGAGACCACGCGACGGGCGACGGGGGGATGCGCCCAGGGGGGGGTGCATCGACCCCCGCCGCTTCCAGCTCGACGTCCCCCCCCCCCCGAGCCTCGAAGACGAAAGAACGGCATAAGCATAAACGGTTGGAGCTCCGCTCAGGTCAGGGGCAACGTGAGGGGGGGGATGCGGCGGGGGCGTTTCTCAAGGAGTGTGCCCAGGAGGCCTCAGACCCTGGACGATGTCTTATCGGACGAGGGCGGCAGTGATGTCCATGGCCAACCCACGATTGGAGTTCCACCAGCTTCCTGACCCTGGATTCCTTCTCCAATGGTTCCTTGTCCAATGGCCTCACCGGCTCACCGTAGGCCCAGGGGGAGGATACATCGACCCCCCGATCGCCCAGAGGGGCCCGATAGCACACCCCGCCCAGAAGCGCGGGTATTCGCCATTGGGGGCATATCGCCGATCTGTAGGCGATGCATCACTACTTCCACCTCGACTTCCCTCCCCTGAGCCTCAAAGAACAACATATCGGCATAAACAGAGACTCTTGGCGCTACGCGCAGACTTCTTGGACCTGCGCTGGACCCCCCTGGCGTCGCCTCTGGCGCGGCCCCTGGCGCGCTCCGCGCGCCACGGCGGGTGGTCCAGCGCAGATCCACGAAATCCGCGTGGAGCTCCGAAAGCTTACGCTTGTGCCTTGTTGTGGCCTTTCTGGAGCGGGCTCCCCTACCCGTCGCTGCCCCCCATCAGGGGGGCCCGGAGCCCCGCGCTGCCGGAGCGCAGCAGGCCTCTGCGGACGCCGGGATCGACCACAGCAGGTTCGCGCCGTGTCGGCCAGGCAGCGACCTCGGCTCGTGGCGGGATCTCCGAGCTCGACCTCAATCGCCGGGTCTGGAAGAAGAAGGACGGCATGAGCATCAAGGTTCTGCGCTCCGCGCGGATTGTTTGGATCTGTGGTGGCCACGAAGCATATGTTGATGCAGTTGTTTCTTCCTCGGGGGTCGGTGTGGGAGGTGGCCCCAGCGGTCGCGGCAGCCACAACTCGGGGCAAGGTTTTTGTCAAGGAGTGGCATGCCCCTCCCCCCCGGCTCTGCGATGTAGACGTGGCCAGCGATTAATTTAGCGGCAGAAAGTTGCCCATGTATGGCGAACATTGGCAGTCATGCCTCCTTGGATAAGGGCCGATTATCATGCAACCATCAGCGGCCGTTCAAGGTTGACGATGCAGGCGCCCCACAACCGACCGACATCGAGGCACCCACACGATCGGGAAGCCGCGATCGTTCAAAGTTCCAGGGTTTCCGCGGCGTCACAAAGCAACGCGCTAATCGCCACGCCACGGACCTTCCGTGAGCCTTCCCAGACGAGGGGGCGGGGCTGCTCACGCCCATGTGGTCGAATGGGAAGGTGGCCGTTCCAAGGCACCCCCCCCGTCCGCTTCTAGAGTTCTGCCCGCTCCCGGGGGCCTGGGCGGGAAGGCTCGCGCGGGGGGCGGGTCCCCGAGCGAGCTGCTCCGCAGGGGCGCAGGGGAGATCGTGGGCGATTAGCAGATCCGCATCCGCGGGCTCGCAGGCCAGGCCCCCAGTCCGCGTCCCCGTGGATGCGGGGCGCTCTTGCCGCTGATGCCCCGCACGAGACGCACCCGTGCGACCGCGCATCCGCGGGATCGCGCCCCGGAATTTCTGGTAGGTGGATCTCGCAAGCTCTCCGCCGCCTCCGGCGGTGTGCGTTGCGAGCAGGAACGCAGCAAAGCCACAGGAAAGCGCGGCATTGACATTGTAGCCCCGCACACGTGACGAATGCTAACGAGCAGGAAGGACAAATGTTAACGAGCAGGACCGCGAGGGCGCGGATACGGATGCGAGTCAGGCTAGCCAGACGAGCTGGCTCGACCCATGTCCTTGCGGCCGGCCAGGCGGTTACAGCCGCAGGCCGCCGCACAGGACGTGCAACAAAATAGCCGCAACGTGTTCGAATCACGTGAGGCTCCCTCTGGCAAGCCCGTGCCACACAAACATGTTGGCCGTTCGTGCTAAGGGAGGGTTTCGGGGGGCCAGAGTAAAACAGGGCTAGGATCGGGATAAATCGCTCCAGAGCGTTCCGGAGCGCTCTCAGAGCGTTCCGGAACGCTCTGGAGCGGCCGCGGCGCCCAATACATCCTCCAAACCCGCCGATTCTCAGAGATTTCGAGTTATCCCGATCCGATTGTGTCCCGATCTTCGCGTCGTTTTAGTCCCAGCCTCCAGAGCATGCAGGACGCAGCACGAGCCAGGGGCCGCGCGCCTGAGGCCGGAGCTGCCCGCCGTCCAAGACCGCAGACGCGGCCGGTGGCGCCTCGTGCCTCGGGGGCCCTGGAAGAAGGTACAGTCGGGGCGTTGACCTAAGGAACCCTCAAGAAGGAACGAGGCCCCTTTTTTCCATAAGTTAACCTTCGATCTCCGGACGAAGACATGAGGAAAGCCTGAGGCAAGCTGTGAAACACTCAAGGAACGCGGAGCCCCTTCCCAACGAAAAGGGTTCCGTCTTCAGGGCCCCGACTGTATGCGTCCCCGTGGTGGCGCCGGAGGGGGGCCTGAGGTGGCCCAGCGCTGGTTCTGGCGAGCAGGAGGCGGGGGGGGGGGCGAGGTTCGAGGCGCTGGGATCCGGAAGGCCTCTGCCTTTTTGCTGCCTCGGGGGGCCGTTGTCGGACATCGGGACCGTCGAAAGCGGAGCCGGGGTGGAAAACGGCACCAGGTGGGCCCCGGGAGGGGTGCTTCCACCCCCCTCCGTGAGTGATTTTCTCGAGGCCCATCCAGTTCAGATTCCCCGGCCGCCTCCAGTTCCCACGGTCATCATCGCAATGGCCACGAGGCACGGCTACGCACTGGTCTGCAGGGTGAATGTTGTTCTGGGTAGGCTCAATCCGTCTCACGCGCACTCGGAATTGAATGTCGTTGAGTGCTCCGTCATTGGTCAATTTCTACAAAAGTCTTTCGGCCCTTGGAGAGTACATGTGGGATGGCATTGGATAAGTAGGTTGCCGAGGGTCCCCAGAACCGCTGCTGCCGTTGTGATCGAGCGTAAAGTTTGAGCGTCAGCGGCCAGATCGAGGGGGGAATGTAGAACAAACCTACATCAACTATATCCCCATCTGCCTCCTAGCCCCCGATCCCTGGCGGGCTCATTGCACGCCGCGCGTGACAGATGGACCCGGCGGAGGAGGAGAGGGGGAGGAGGAGAAAAGTTGTGGACACTTAGCAGGGTTCATTTCGATCCGATGGATCCGATTCGAAGTCGATCTTGGTCGGCCCGATCCGATTCCGATATCCCGAGGATCCGATGCGGCTCGATGTTTGCATGGCGCTGCTATGCATCTTGGCGCGACCGACTCGATTCAATTTCGGCTCCGTGCCGATGCAGCCCGATCCGACGCACGTTCCGATTCGGCCCGGCTTCCCGATGCGGCGCCGACTGATCTTGCCCCGGGCCAGGAGCACCCCTGGCACCCCGAGAAGAGGAGGGAGGCCTGGACCCCTTCCCGAGGCTGCCCTCGGGGGCGCCAAGTTTGTCCGCGCTGCGCTGCTCGGCTCCGATTCCTCATCCTCCTCCTCTTCTCCCCTGGGGGGCGGCGCGACAGCGCGAAGTTCGTCGCGCAGCGCGAAGCGCGAAGTCAGACGCCCTTGCTTCCCCAAGAACGGCATTCGATCCCGAGCCGTTTGTTGACGGTCCCGGGGCTCAGCGAGGGCCCAACGAGGCCAGAAACGACCCAGAATTCAGAGGAGGAAGGGGTACCCATACCGCTACCCTTCCCCCGTCTTCCCCTTTTCGAACCTCTTGGGAGGACCTTGTCGCCACTGCTGGATTCGCCTCGAAATTATGGTCAGCACGCACCCCGAGAGAGGTCCAGGGAGTAGCGGTATCGATATCTTTTTCGGGCGGGGCTAGGACAAGGATAAATCCGTTCCAGGGCGTTCCGGGACGCACTCAAAGCGTTCCGGAACGCTCTGAGACGGCCGCGGCGCCCGAGACATTTTCCAGAGCCGCGGGATCTCAGAAATTCTCGATGTATCCTCACTTGATGTTATCCTCGTCCTAGCTTCTTACTCCTTTGGTTCCCCCAAGATCCCTCCGACGTGATGCTTTGCCACAGCGCGAGGAGGCGCGGGGACGCCTTGGGCAGGGAGCGGAACGCCCGCAGCGAGACGGCGGCCTCCCACACTGAGCGCGCAGGCAGACAGCGTGCCCTGGCTCGCCCGAAACCCGAATAGCCCTTATGCGATGTTTAAGAAAACCTACGTAATCGTCCAGAGTCTCGATGATTCTTAATTTGTCAATGTAAATCCCAAGATTTTGATAGAAGTTCTGGGTTACATTCAATTTCTGAGACTATGAATTTCTTAACCCATGATTTCTTAAGCATTTCGCAGGGTGTGGCCCCCCCACCCGCGCGCGCCACATGCGGAGGACGCCTCCTTGGCAACCTCCCGAGAGGAGGAGCGGAGGCGAGGGCTGCCGCGGGGCCCCGATGTCTGGCGTTGCAGAGATCAGCCACGCGCAGAGGGGGGTGGAAGCACCCCTGCTTCCCGGAAGGCGCGGGCCGTATCTGTAGATGTAAGGCCGGCGCTTTCTAAGAAGCAGCCTCCTCCTAAGAAGCCCTCCCCCCTCCCTCCACCCCCTCGTGCGCGCCGCCAAAGAGAAGTTGCGACCTCGCGAAACATCATATGGCAAAGTTTAGGGGGGAAAGGCTCAGCGCGGGGTACATCGGCTCCACAGGGCCCATGGATCCCCGAGGGGCGTGATAGCCCGCCCCACCCAGGAACGTGCGGATTCGCCATCGAGAGCCTATCGCCGATCTATCAGCGACGCATCGCCGATTCCAAGCCGATGTTGCCACCCTGAGCCAGTCCCCCCGAAATCCCCCAGCGCGCCCCCAGCGCTGCCGCAGTGCGTCCAGCACCACAGTCTGTGGTGCCAGACCCACTAGACAGGGTGAGGTCGGGCGGGTGGTAATGGGGGGTGGCCCACATGGATCGGGCCGGACAAAAGGGGGGGATTGTGAAAGGGGGGATTTCGGCCCCACCGAGGAGCCCATTCCTCGATACACGGCCGCCTCCGGCGCCAGGAGGCGCCGGGAAAATCATCTACGTGAGTTGATTCTCAAACCCCCCCTTTGGTATCCCCCCCTTTCGCCCGACCCGAATGGAGGATGAACGAAGAGGCCCTCAAGGGGCCTTTCGGGGCGCCTCGGAGGCGCCTGCTGGCTCCCAAAGGAGCCCGAAAGGGTTCCTTGAGGGCCTGTCTCTTCACCCCCCAATTGGGCCACCCCCCACTGCCACCCGCCCGGGAGGGGGAGGGCGCCCCCTCCCCCCTCCCCCCTCTCCCTTTATAACGCCCGTGCTATCGCCGCGAGCACAAAAATGCGCTGCCCTCGTCGCCCCATCAGGAGCGGGTCGACTCGGCAGGAGGCAGCGACAGCTCCGCAGCGCCGTTTGGGGGTCCCTCCAGTGTTGGAGGGACCGCAAACATAATCGTGCTCTTATCCATTGGTTTGCCGATCGGCGCGGGTCCTCGCACCCCCCCCTCCCCCGTGGAGTAGATCTTGGCTGTTTGTGGCGCTTGTTTCGAGCAGGTGGCCGACAGGACGCACTGCTGCAAACTGTCGTATGAAGCAGAGATCTGGAGCCAGACCTCCCCCCTCTCCCCCACCATTCCACCCACTGTCGAAACGTCGACTAAAGAGGCATCCACATGTGGAACTAAAATCTCAAAATCAGTTTCGGCAGTACTGCTGTCGTCGCCCCTTAAGGAGGAGGAGGAGGAGGAGGAGGAGGAGGAGGAGGAGGAGGAGGGATGGCGAGGACTACCTTGGGGAGCCGGAGCAGAGGGCGGAGGGCCAGGGAGGTCGGGCGGGTGGTTGATGGGGCGTGGCCCAAAAAATGGGGGTGAAGAAAAGGGCCCTGAAGTGTGCCTCTCGGGCCGGGCGAAAGGGGGGGATTGGGAAAAGGGGGGTTACGAAATTTGCTGCATGCAGCTGGTTTCGGCCTCACCGAAGGGCCCATTCCTCGATACATGGCCGCCTCCGGCGCCGGGAGGCGCCGGGAAAATCAGCTACGTGAGCTGATTCTCAAACCCCCCTTTTGCGATCCCCCCCTTTTGCCCGACCCGAGCCTCCCTGCCTCCCTCCCTCCTCCTGCCCCTCATTCTGCTGTTGCGTCTCCTCCCTCTCCTTCCTCCTCCTTCTCCTCCGTTTTCGTGAGGCCTGTGCCTGCCGCCTTCTGACGCAGAAGAGCGGCAGGGTAGACTCGCCAAGTGTGCCTCTCTGGACCCCTTTGGGAGCCAGCAGGGGCCCTGAGGGGGCCCGAAAAGGGGCCCTTTGAGGGAGCGACAGGGAGGGGTGCCATTGCATGAAGGTCGGCGGCGCGCGGGGGAGGGGGGAGGTGAGAGGGGGCGGCCCTCTCAGAAGTCTCGCGAGTCTCCCGGCATGCTGGAAGATGTCCCAAGCCCTGTCCGAAGACGCAGGGACTGTCCCAGAAGGCCCGAGGGCCTCTGGGAAGCCCCGCCGCCCTCTGAGGGGCCCTTCTCCTTCTCGTGTTCCCCCCCTCGCTCGCTGCTACATTCAACCCGCACAGTAAGGGGGGGCAACCTTCCCCGCTGCATTGAACCCGCACAGGAAGGGTGGGGGTACCCTTGCATCATTGCCTCCTCGATCCATCCTTGGCCCCTCTCGTTGGCCGCGCCCCGCTCGAGAAGCTCCGACGTGGGCGTCCACGGCCCTTGCGCCCTTCTCGCGCATCCGTATTCCTATACGGGTTGGCTGTAGCCTTAAGTCGTGCTTGTCCCTCTACAGGAGGAATATTCAAAGATAGTCAAAACCATTTATCTGGGGACGATGTTTTGAATCTGTTTTGACCGTTTTGGGGGTATTTTGTTGACTATTGTTTTATTTGTCGTCCAAGATCCCCCTGTAGGAGGACAGGCCCGATTTAACTGTAGCCCTGGGCCTGGGATGGGGGGGGGGGGCTGGTCCCCGCGTGCCCCCGCATATGTGTCGGACCTGCAGCGGCCGCCCGCAGAGCCCCGCCCACAGCTGCAACCCCGGGCCTTGGCGGCCCCGGCCTGTCGGGGAGCGCGCCGGTTTGCTCCCCCCCCCCCTGGGCAGAGGCCCCTCTCCGATCACCACAGGCGTCGAGTGCACTCGGTATCGTTTAACCGATCCTCATCCCCACCTTCATCCCTTTCGAGACCCCACCAAATTGCCACCCCAGTTGGGGACACACCCCTTCGAAACCCGAAGAGAACGACCTATATCCCCATCTGGGCGGGCAAATCGGCCAGCGGGGCCCAGGCCACGCCGCTGGGGATGGGGATCGGTTAAACGATGCTCATGCACGGGCGCGGGGTGCACAGGGCAGTCGCTCCAGGGCGCCCACCGACCCGGGTGCTGATGTCCACTGAGGCAGTTCAGAGCGCCGCTTCGCCACGCGCGCAGCAGGGAGGGGAGGGCAACGCTGTAAAATCCACTCCCTGCGTGCTGTCAAGTGCTGTCACATGCTGCAGCATGCGGCTGCATGCTACAGGCCCCTCTCCTTCTCGCTGCCCCCCCCGGAGATCCGACGGCACGAAAAAGTTGCAACTGTGTAGGAAATCTCGCCCTGGAGCCCTAGACCCTACCTCTCTGCGTCATTGTTCGGGCCGGGTCGATCTGTGAGGGTCCCGGGCCCAGAAAACAAAGCGAAAACGCACGGCTCGGAATAATGGGGACGCCAGGATCTCCGGCCCCTCGCAAGCAGCCGAGAACAGGGGCCCCTTGGAGCCATTACCACCCGCCCGACCAGGAGGGTCCAGCGATTGCAGATATGGATCAAGGGGGCGTAGATTAGCCACGGGTCCCCTTTCCACGGGAGGAATCGCGGCTTTCTGCCGCCGAGCGAGGCGGCATTGGGGAGGGCACCTCCCCCGATCCATGGACTTGGGGATTTGGCCGCGCGCCAAATCCATGGATCGCTAAGCCGTGTCTGCGCGCCCCCGATGGTCCCCCAGTCGCCCACTCCTGGCGGCTCGGGGCCTGGGCGCCCCAGCCTGCCCGAGAACGTGAGAACGTGGGGCGGGGGCTCCACACCGCGGGCACGTCGCCGATCTCAACTCCACGTTCCACTCTGAGCCAGTCCCCCCACACCTCTGCCCCTCGATTCCGCCACCCCCCCTCAAAAAAAGAGAGCGGAGAGGGTCGCACGATCGACCGGTTGTTGCGTTGTGGCGTAAACATGGGCAAGAGGTACGGCCAAGCGAGCCAGCAACACGGGGGCCCTCCGTGGGTGGGAATGGCACGCAAGTCCCTTGATCTCTGAGCCAGCCCGATCCATGGACTCGGATGCAATTTCTGGGAGGACAAATTCTGATTTTGCCCTGGTCCGAAATCCGGCTTAATCGCGCTTAGTCCGGCTTAATCCCGCTCAATCCCGCTGAATCCCGCTTAGTCCGAGGCCCACTCCGGCGTAACAGCTTCCAAATGGGGCTTAATCCTCTTTCATCTCCCCGACGATGACCTCCCAGGAGTTGCCTCCTAACATGGATCGCCAACCCATGCATGCGCGCCCCCGAGAGGGGCGGGGGCCGCCTCGGCCGCGGCACCGGCCAGGGGAGGCCCGGCGCCCCGCGGTGTGGCCCAGCGCCGGCGGGCCGCCGCGCGTCGCCCGCGGGCCCTACGCAGGCGCGCCGCCGCCCGCGCGGCCTCGCCCGCCCGCCTCGCGCTACGGAGGAGTCACGACGCCGGCGCCGAGGAGGACGAGGAGGTCGACGAGGAGGACGACGAGGAGGAGGTGGAGGAGGAGGAGGAGGAGGTGGAGGACGACGAGGAGGAGGAGGAGGGGGAGGAGCACGGGCACGGGGAGGACGAGGAGAAGGAGGAGGAGGACGACGACGCCGACGCCGACGACGCAGTCGACGCCCGAGAGGGGTCATCATGCCACGTCGTCGTCGTCGTCGCCGCGCTGCGAAGAATTCGCGACGGAGGCGTCCCAGAGCTCCTGGCGCCGCATTTGTTTCGCAACGGGCGGTCTTGCCTCGCGTCCGGCGCCGGGGCCTGCACAGATCGATCTGGCGCGAGAGCACGGATTCTGGCGTCGTGCTTTTCAAGACGGGCGACTCTGCCTCGTTTCGGGCGCCGGGGCCATCGTGCATCGATCCGGCTCGAGACACGGCGCACAGAGACGGGGCCCAGGGCTCCAGTCGTGATCCTTCGCGGTGTCGCAGTTTTGGTTCGCGGCATCGGATCTCGAAGGTTGGCTGTCTTCGGTGTTCGGGCCGGGGGAAAGGGGGGGATTGGGAAAGGGGGGGTTACGAAATTTGCTGCATGCAGCTGGTTTGGGCCCCACCGAGGGGCCCCATTCCTCGATATATGGGCGCCTCCCGGCGCCGAGAGGCGCCGGGAAAATCAGCTACGGGAGCTGATTCTCAAACCCCCCCTTTGCTATCCCCCCCTTTCGCCCGACCCGAGGTGTCCAGGTGCCTGCACCAGGCCCCCGGGGCCGTCACCAAAAAAGGCTCGGGAGGAGAAGCCGGATCCCCGGGTGGAGGGGCCGAGACCTCGGGGGCCCGCGTCGTGGGGGAAGAACTCCTCCTCCTCCTCCTCCTCCTCCTCCTCCTCCTCCTCCTCCTCCTCCTCCTCCTCCTCCTCCTCTCCTCCTCTCCTCCTCCCCCTCCTCCTCCTCCTCCTCCTTCTCCTCCTCCTCCTCGGGGAAGAACGCGATGGGTGGGAGGGAACAACTCTATTCGATGCTCGTTTTGGGGACCTTCCTGGGGGCCACCTAATGGATCTGTTCGACTCAGGTTCGACTCGAGTTCGACTCAGGTTCGACTCAGGTTCGACTCAGGTTCGACTCAGATTCGACTCATGTTCGACTCAGGTTCGACTCAGGTTCGACGCAGCTTCGACGCACGAGTGGAGCGAGTGGCTGCAGGAAGGTCCCCAGAATGAGCATCTAAACTCTATCGAGTGGCCTTCCCGCGTTGGCGTTGTTTCGGGAGGCCCTCACCGCCACGGCCGCATCCGCCTTCGGGGTCTTGGCCAGACAATCAACGAACCCCCCCGCGGCCCTCCCCCCCTTTTTCGGCGAAGCGATGAAGCTTCTTCTCGGCCCTGGAAGTGATATCCCGGCCCCGGGCCACTCAGTGCGGGATTCCACCAAAATCCGAATAGGATCCCAACAAGACGCCAATCGGATTCCAATGAGAGCCCAAGACGGTTGCAACATGAACCCAGCAAAATCCGCATCGGATTCCAACCGGGTTCTGACAGGGTTCAGAGAGGATCCCAGTAGGATCAGATTCCAGCAGGATTCCACACTGGCATCCCCCCTTAGGAGTCCACCAAGGAAGTGCCCTCCACCCTTGTCTCATCTCTTCTTCAAGCGAACTCCTACAACTGTTGCTCAGACGATTAGTTCTCTGCCGCCCAGAAGGGACGGGGGCAGGGGAAACATTTCGGAAGATGGATGCTGAATATCGCTGGAGGTGCAGGGGGGGGGGGGGAGATTTCTCGTCATGGTAGACGCCTCAGGGGAGCAGAACAATTGCATGTTACAAGATAGAAGCTATAGTATCTGATCCGATCTACAGACCTCAACCCCTGCCACTGCTGCTCACGCTATGATTTTCCTAGTGGCCACAAGGGTGGGGTCTGGCAGATTCCAGAATACGGGTGCTAAGTAACGCTGGCGGTGCGGTGGAGGCGATACTCCTCGTCGCAGTCTAGGCCTCAGGGGAGCGGAAAAAACATGCATGTCTTATCAGAGGTCGCAAATAGAAGCCACGGGGAGTGGGCAGGCAACCGTCCCAGGAAAGCCTGAAGCAGATTGCTGAGCCTTGCTCTGCGTTGCGCTGCCGTGATCGGCATTGCTCGGCCGTGGTTCGCACTGCAGAGGAGCCATGTGCCTTGCACCGGCATGGTTTTACACTGCCCTCCGTTGCTCCGCCCTGCTGGGCGTTGCTTTGCATTGCACCGCACTGCTGGGCGCTCCTCTGCGCTGCCGGGCGCTGCTTCGCGATGGTGAGCAGGCCCATCCCGGGCCCCGGGGGTCGGTGCGTGCGCCTCCCGGCCGAGCCCGGTGGCGAGGCGGTGAGGGGAGCCTCGGGGAGGGAAAAGAGGCGTCGGGAGTCTCAGGATCGAGGATGGGGGTGCGATCGAGGAGGAGAGGAAGAGGACGGGGGTTCGATCGAGGATGGAGGAAGAGGATGGGGATTCGATCGAGGATGGAGGTGGAGGATGGAGGAAGAGGATCGAGGATGGAGGAAGAGGATGGGGTTTCGATCGATGATGGAGGTGGAGGAGTCTCAGGATCGAGGAAAGAGGAAGACGATGGAGCTTCGATCGAGGCTGGAGGTGCTATCAATGGTTTGTCGATGGCACCCCTTATAAGTGACAATGGTTGTCGTGCGCATCCAGTATTCTATTGGACGGCATCCTGTAGCAGGTTGAGATCGTCTCAGGGCCGTCTCAGGGGTTTGGGCTGTCTGCCAGACCCTTGAGGCCTCTCTTGGGGCGTTACTCATCTTACTTTTATCGCCCCGCCCCCCCTCCCAGAGAAATGATTTAATTAATAATCGACTTTGGTTGCTAACGATATCGCTCGGCGGTTCTTCCCCCTCCAGAACTCATTAATTAATTATCTGGAGTGCTAGGCATGACGGGGGGGATCGTTAATTGGTTCCCACGGCTATTGCTGTTGCTCACCTTGGAGAGTTCTGTGCTTGCCGGCGTGATCAGCCAAGCGGGTTGTGTTGCCCTCCATATTGCTATTTTGGGGGGGGCCGCTTCCCGCACGGCATGGTGGAAACGGAGTGACCCGTCGACGGTCTGCTTCTGTCATAACAGGGCTGGAAGGATCTGGAGGCGTTCGCCGTTCCTCCGCGTTTTTTTTCCGAGCTCCGCTGGGCATGTCTTTGTCACTCCTAGGCCAGAGGGGGAGGGCCTCCCGCGAGGGGAACAGCGGCAGCCCACTTGTCGAATCCGCTGGACGAAGGCTGCCTGCAGACCGACGCTAGGCCTTCCCCAGAGCAGGCAGGCGCACGCAAACATTATAGTCTTGTGCGTGCGTTGTGCGCGCATCACAGAGCACAGCATAGCATGCCCACAATTGTACATCCACAAGCACCAGGCTCGAATACCCCAGACCAGAGCGCGTGTACACAAAAATAGTCGAGTGTGTAAGTGTAAGTGCACGTGTAAGTGCAACTGTAAGTGGAAGTGGAAGTGGAAGTGGAAGACAAGTGCAAGCGTAGGTGTAAGTGTAAGTGTAAGAGTGTAAGTGCAAGTGTAAGTGTAAGTGTAAGTGTAAGTGTGTATGTGTATGTGTAAGTGTGTGCGTAAATGTGTGGGTGTGCTTGAGTGCGGGGGGGAGGCACTGCAGGCGCCGCCAGCACACCTCCTGTCGTCCCTTCCCTGCCGTTCACCCCTCTCTGGCCGTGCTTGGTCCTTCAGCTGAGCTCTCCATGCAACTCAAATGGAAGGAGCAGTCTCCATGCAATGTCATACAGTGGTGAGCATGCCACCGTGTTTGCCCAGGTGCCGCGTGGTCGTTACCGTGTGTGAAAGCTGGTATGGCGAATGACGATTTGTATCTCGGATTTCTCTCGGAGGGGCAGGTTGTTGCACAGAAGACGCGGCTCTGAAGCAAAAAGAGTAGAGTCCAGCGAATGCCAAAGCAGCTCTGGAAAAAGGGAATGGTTGCATGATTGCCGTGAGTCTCCGTCGCAACAAGGTTGCGGCCTCATGGTCTGGCAGGGTCTAGACGCACCAGGAGGGAAGAATAGACACAAGCACTAGTAACATTGTTTTCAATGAAAATATTGGGAAATATGAGACATGGAAAGAAAGAAGAAAATGTCACCAAACAGTGCTTGCACCCACCAGCTGCCCGTCGGTATGCCGGCTATGTGGTCGCCGTCGCCGCCTCGTCGCCGCCCGTCTTCTGTGCTTGACCGTCGGTCTGGCGGCTATGTGGTCGTCGTCGCCGCCCTTTCGCTCTCAGCCTGCCCGTCGGTCTGGCGGCTATGTGGTCGCCGTCGCCGCCCCTTCGCCGTCTGGGCCTGCGTTACGTTTCATTATTTTGGTACGCCCGTTATGATCGGCTGCCTCGATACGCCCGTTGTTCTTTGTTTTGCAGTGTTTTCTTATGTGTTGCATTGCTTTGCTCTGCATTACATTGCTTTGCATTGCGGTGCTTTGTGTTGACTTGTTTTGCAATCGCATTGCATTGCGTTGCATTGATGTTCATTGTCTTTTGTTGCTTTGCAGTGTTTTGCATTGTCTTGTGTTGCTTCGCGTGGCCTTGCACTGCTTTGCACTGCTGTGCATCGCATAGATCGTACCACGTCGATCGCACCACCTGCATTGCATCGCATGGATAGTACCACCTAGACTGCACCGCATAGATTGTAGGACATCGCTGTTTGGGGTCGACGCTGGCTAGCATCCTGGAATGTGTGTTGACTTTTGTGGTTTCCGCCATTCCGCCGACCCCCCAGAAGGAGCGTGGGCTTGTGACGCGATCTTGGAAGTTTTCTAGTGGGTCCGGAGCTTCTTGGATGCATATGAGGAGCTCCTGGGAAGCCTCTCAGGGGCCTCTTCGAGGGCTCTGGCGGGCATCTTGGGGTGGGGTCTCTTGGGCCTTACTGGGGAGCTTCTTGGGGACGCCTCGGAGGCCTTTGGAATTTGTGTTGTTTTCTGTGTGCCCCACTGGGGCCCCTTAGACGCAGGCGCGGGCGCTTGCCTTTTGCCGGGGTTCGGCGAGGCGGGGCGTGTCTGCACGCCGCGGAGAGGGAGCCCGGGCAAGGCTCGAGCACCCAGCTCGGGCACGCCCTCTCTCCTGGCGGTCTTCACGGGCGGGGCCACATCACCATGGGGCGAACGGGTCCTCCTGGAGGCATTCGAGGCCGTCCCTCTCCGGCGGACCTGGGGGCCACCGATCAAAACGAGAGTGTCGTCCATTGGCGTCGATCCGTCGGAGGCCGACACAAATTCTCTCGGGGCCCTTTTCGGGGGGCACTGCTGGGGGCGCTGTGGGTCGCCATGGGGGAAGCGGGTCCTGAGGGAAACGGGGCTTGCAGTTTTTCACCGTTTTCGGGCTCTCGAGGCCCTCCTCGTGCCCCAGACCATGAGAAAACGACTCCAGCAGGAACAGCCAGTCTTGGGGGAAGGCCCTGGGGTCCAGGACCCGTTTCCCTCAGGACCCGATTCCCCGAAGTTCGTCAGAGTTCAGAGGATAGATCGTGGGACAAATAATGATATAAGTTTCAGTTTTCGGAGGTCCACGCGGATTTCTCGGATCGGCGTTGGACCCCCTTCTCGGCGCGCGGAACGCGCCAGGGGCGGCGCAGGAGGCGCCACACGTGGGATCAGCGCAGATCGAGGAAATCCGCGCAGATTTTCGAAAGTTCATGTTTATGTCACCATTCGCTCCCCGATGAGGTCATGATAATGATGCGTTCAAAGATGTCCTGGATGTCTTCATGTTCTACACGGGTTGCAGAAACGAGGGCCGTTGGATGCCCCGGAGCTCCTGCAATTTGTCATGAGCCAATCGTATCGTAACATGATTCCCGTAATAGGAGCTGGCATTTGCCCCTTGCCCAGCTCGGGGACAACGTTAGGGAGGGGGGTAGGCTCAGGGGGGAGGAGAAACATTGCTCCCCCCCTCGCCCGCTCATCGGCAGCAGGGGCCCGATTCCACCTTGCCCAGGAACTTGTGGCTCCTCTATCGGCGCCTATCGCCGATCTACCAGTGATGGGTCGCCGGTTTCAGGTCGATCTTCCCCCCTTTATGAGCCAGTCCCCCCCTTATCGTCCCTCCTCGCCCCTGCCCAGCGACTTCGACGAGGATGGATCTGGAAGCCCAACTCGGCCAAAGGCATTGCTGTTGGCAGCTAGCTGCGTGGGCCGTTCGGTGTTCATTTATTTTGAGGTTGCGGCAACCTAGTCCATCGGGCCTCAGACAGTGTCGCGACCAGGGGTCGACAAAGCGGGCTCCTTGGGCGAGGGATGGCCGGGAGGACAGAATAGGTCGAGGGAGTGGAAGAAAGGTGGAAGTGAGGGAATGATAATGAGAATGTCTGTTCACTACGTGAGGGAAATGGAGCCTAGACTGAGGAGGGGAGATCACGCCTGGCATCAGAGCGTTTCGCCTTCTCAGCCTTACTTAGGACTTTCGGCCACTGACCTTGGCGGATCAACCTGAAAGAACCCTCTACAGTCGGTGCGGCTCGAACACTTGGTTTGTGGAGGTTATGGGCTTGTTGGTTGGCGAAGCACCCGCACTTCCCGCAAAATCAAAGAGACAACGTCGTGCCTGAGACAGGGAGTGGAAATGAGAGGATGTGGGGCAGAAAAGGGCATCAACAGGATTGCAGCGCGTCTTCTGGAACCTAGCAGGCCGGATCCGAACATACGTACATTGCAATGTCACTCATATTGCAACATTACATTACACAGGTTATCCGCCCACCTCCGCCGCTGTTGCCCCAATCTGTATATATATATATATATATATAAGTTGATAGGTGAGGTGCTTGATACAACAAATCGAAGACTGCGGCAGACATAAGTAGATGGTGGTGTACATTCGTAGCGGTTCCACACGCAGCAGCGACATGGTAGTCGAATTGATGTGTGCCATGATCTTGTTCGATGGATGTCGTCCCCCGTGTTCTGGAAGCTGAACGTTGAGCGTTGATCCAGTTAAAGAGCCTTATTCTTGACATGCTTGCTTTACTCCGAATGGTAGTGTAACCATGCGGTAGACGTCCGAGTTTTGAATTGCTGTACACAACACACAACAGCCCCATTCTCGGAGCGAGAAAGGGGAGGAGACCAGTGGTATTTTCATTATGGTTATCTGGGCCATCGTACGCGCAGTGGTCGGTGTCGTTGGGAAGCTGCAGCGCTCGCCAGGAAGCAGAGGGCCAGCCAGTGTACATGTTGGTGGGCCTCGAAGGCAGCACGACAGCCTGCTGGATGGCTCCGCCTCGAGACCTGAAACACTGGGCCGCCCTGCTTTGGCCGAAGCTCCGAGCTCTTGGCTCACTCCCCGAGCCACCCGCAGGTGCGCGAAGAGAATTCCTCGGTAGCTAATCATGGGAGCCGCGTGTGCCCTCGCACTTCTGTCTTTCGCGTCGACTAGCGTCGATTAGAGTCTGGGAGTCGATGAGATAGCGGCAGTTTCGGGTCGGCTTGCGTCGATTAGCTCGATTCAGCGTCGTTGAGCGTCGACTAGCGTCGATTAGCGTCGATCCGCAAGAGCCGACAGCATGGTATGGGAGGCCCCCACGAGCTGCCACCGAAGAATTCGGCGCGCCGCGCGCCGCTGTCCGCCCTGGAGAGAGCCGCCCTTCTCCGTGGGAAGCGCTCCGGGAAAGGGGCCTCGCCTTCGGCGCGCCTCGCCCTCGGCGGAGGCCGGCGGAAGGCAGGCGGAAGTCGGCCGAGGTAGAATTCGACGGGTGCGTCAGCGGAAGGTGGTTTTTTGCCTATGCCCCCAGCGACTCTTTCGCTGCCCCGAGTCATTCTTTCTACCAGTGGCTTCGGCCAGATGCGATTTTGCCCAAGTACAGGAATGTCCCACTTCTACGCTTTCCAGCTTCCCTGTAGACGTGACCGAAGAATAAGAAGAAGAAGAAGAAAAGGCCATGAGCATAAACTTTGGGCGCTCCGCGCGAATTTCTTGGATCCGCGCTGGGCCCCCCCAGCGGCTCCTCCGGCGCCGCCCCTGGCGCGCGGGGGGGTCCAGCGCAGATCCTAGAGATCTGCGCGGAGCGCCGAAAGTTTCTGTTTATGCCGTTTATCCTTCATCTTCTTCTTCTGTAGAAGTTAGTCGTCAGCATTGTGTTCAGTGTTTCCGGCGCTGGCCCTCGGGCGGCGCGACCGTTTGTCGCATTTAGTGTTTCTGGCGCGACGCGCGAAATCTTGTCATCTGCGCCTGTGTAATTATTGGAGTCTCGCTCTCTCTCTCTCTCTCGCTCTCTTTGCCTTCTTCGCGGACAGGTCGGTTGCCCGATGCACGTTTCGCCCCGACCTCGCCAATTTGCGGTGTTTTGAACCGCCGGTCAGATTTCGATCCGATTATTGATTTGTGGATCAGTCGGGATCAAGACATCCGATTTGGCCTTTTATCGGCGGAGTGTCCCGCGCTTGGAGATCGATTGGGCCCGCCGTCACATTCTTCTGTATTGCTACGTGCCGGGTGGGATCGATGTGGGCATTGGTGACGACACGTGTCGTTGTCAAGTTTCTGGTTAGCAATGTTCGTAGAGGTTAATACCGTATTAACACGCATTAGAAACACGCGCTCCCCATACAGCGTTTCTTGTCTTGCCGGGCGGTCCAGCCGTCGTCGGCCATAGGGGCACACCCTGAGGGTCCCGCCCAGGATGGCACGCCTTCAGGGTCCTGGCCTTTTGCTCTGCCGTGGGTGTGGCGGGATGGCTGTAATTACATAGGGTCTCCCTCTCCTAGGGTCATGTTTTCAAGGTCCGGCCTTCGTTGCCATGTGTGTAGGGGTGCGGCCGTCGTTGCATAGGATCTTGTCGCTAGGGTTGCACCCTTAGATCCCATGCTATCGTTGCCCTGGGCGCCCAGATGTCGATGCACAGCTCCTCGCCCAAGGGGTCCTGGCCCTAATTAGTTGCTTTGGGAGTGGGGGTGTGGCTGTCGTTGCCAAGGGTCGTGCCAGTATTATCACGGCTTCAGTTGCCCTGGGTGTGCGGGTGTAGCCGTGTGGTTGCATTGGGTCTTCCGTACATTGGGTCCCGTTTGCAGGGTTTCTGTTTTCGTTGCTTTTGGTTGTGCGGATGTGGCGGTCGTTGCATCGGATCTTGCCCAGGATCCCAGCCAGTTGTTCTGTTCGTAAGGGTATGGTCCGTCGTGTCTCGCCCATAGGGTTTTGGTTCAGTTCTTCTGGTTGTGTGGGTGCGGTTGCAGTTTCAAAGAATCACGCCACCGAGGTCCTGTTTATCCTCTTGAATTGTTTGGGTACATGTGTTCGTACACGTAATGTACACATTGTCCATTCCGTAATTAGTATGCACGATGAAAACATGATTGATGCACGCATTGGAAGAGTGTTGTAAACAGTTACTGCTCGTGTTGGCGCACTGGCAAAGTATACACGCATGTGCAAGTGCACGTCGGCAAAGACCACGCACACTCTAATAGGAATTGGTCGTCAGGGAATTATGGATCTCCTCGCCCGAATCATGCAGTTTACGTGATTCTGATGTTTGTGTTGTTGTTCATGTCGTATTCGTGTATTGAAGTTGGTGCGAAGAGAAGCCCAGTACATTCAATGTCTTGCATCTGCCGATTCACCGCTCCAGTCCGCACGCCCGCAAGACAGGAGGATGTGACGGACGATGGCGAGTATACAGTGGACGACAGTGAGTCTCATGCCCATGAGCAGTCAGAAGTTGGCATAAGCATTTGAATGTTTACAGCATAGTGGGTGGACATTCAAGTGTTGTCAACACCTTCATGTGGGGGACATTTTCGAAGTGTTCTTCATCGTCGACATGTTCTGGTGTGTCCCTGCAAGAAGAAGACCAGACGCCGTGGTGAACATGCTCGGTAGGCGCCCCCCTCCGCGTTCTCAAAAGTCGAGCTTGACAAGGTGGCAGTTGCAGACGGCCGCTCGGGTAGGGAAGGTCTTCTTGACTACATTATCATCGCGGGAGGCGCCGCGGGCAGGGGGACATGGAGGAAAGCAGGGGGCTGAGAGCATTGAGAGGGAAGTAAGTATTTGCGTTTGTCCATGGTTTGACAACATATTTCCAAGGCGACATGGTGTTGATGAGTTGGACGCAATCGATTGACATCGATGCTCGTCTCGTGATTTTGCTGTGGGCTTGGCTGACATGGCCCACAAATCTTCCACAGTTGAGCGGTGGCTGAATCTTGAATGTTCGACCAGTTGTTGTTCGGATCTCGCAGTGACGGCACTTGGTGTCCTTAAATCATTGTGGCGCACGTGGGTCCATGCATTCGTTTGCGCTTGACCTTTACACACGTCCAGCTCTGGATGGGGCCACGTGCGCACGCTCCAGCAGGCATTGCTGTCGTGCTGGCTTGCCATCAGACGTGAAGCACCGGTCCTCATTCAAGCAATTGAGTCCATCTCCGTCGTGTTCTGGTGGGTGTCTGTCTGATCCTCCGTCGGCAGGCACCGTTGACCTGTCGAAGGCGTTTGGCACTGACTGGCCTCGGACGAACTTAACCGAGGCCCCCAGCAGCAAGTCGACGTCTTTTCACGACTACGGCCGCCGTGGCGATTTTCGTCATCCTGTCGCGGATGCGGATTGAACCTACTTCTCCTCCCGAAACCCACTCACGATCACTACGCGCAGGGCCGACCGCGATAGCGCCACGCGACAGAGCAGGCCAATATGAGATCGCGAGCAGACAGAAGGGAGATTTAGATCACCAGGTGTAGGAGGACATGTTGGGTGCGCCCCGCTCGTCTTGCATGAGGTTGATTCTCCTCATGTGTCTCTCTCTCTCTCTCTTTATCTCTCCCCCCCTTCTCGGTTCCTCTCTCTCTCTGCCTGTCTCGCTCTCTCTCTCTCTCACTCTTGGTTTGTATATCTCTCTCTCTCTCTCTCTGTCTTTCTCTCTCTCTCTCTCTCCCCCCTGATGCGTTGAGTGTAACATTCGGCTCGCGTGTTGGACCTCTTCCGATGAGACTTCGCGCGCGTGCCGACGGCGCACCACCCGGCCAGGAGCGAGTCTGTTCTCTACAGCAGCGGGTGTGCCCCGAATCGTTGTGATTATGTCATCGGACCACTCTTCAACGTCGCGGTAGACAAGATCAATAACATCCACAGCTTCAACACCACACTTGCACCCCTGCATTCTACAGCTTCTGCCACCACTGGCCCCTTTACCCAAAGGACACTTTGTTTTCTGACCGCGGCACCAATCGCGTTCTCCTCGCAGACAAACGTGGAACACAGGGGCCATACGAGGGCCGACACATGACTGATTCGAGCAGCATGTTCTTGGGTCCCAATGTATGTGTATTCCGTACGGTGGTCCAACTGCCATTATGCGCCTTAGGAATCTAAAGAGCAATACGCTCGCTCAGCTCGAGATTGACACATCACTGCTAGCATCTCGCGAATAATGTTTAAGGCTGACAAGAAGCTCGTCAATCTTGCTTCCGTGGGGCCATCCTGTTGAATTTCAGCGCGCTACATTTTCAGGCCAGGTGGTGCAACACTTGCGGCCCGTGCAGACCGATGAAGAGCGTGTCTGGGACTAGGGATGCCTTCCAAACTCGAAGCCGTGCATCAGCAAGCACAGGTCATCCCCAGCCGCGGGAAAAGCAGCGCCAGGGTCCCGGCCATAGCGAGGCCAAGTTCCCGCTGAGGATTCAGCGAGCACACGGCTGCACAAGTCCAAACATTTCGCAAGCATTTCGAGGTGGGTCCCAGGATAGCACCACCAATTATGTTTCATTCGGTCACCACCAGCGATGTTATGTAATCACGTCCATGTTTTCTTCGGAGCGCGGCATTCTGCTACTAACCATGTCGGCTGTTGGAATCTCGCCTGGAGTTGGAAGGCGGCAGCACTATGTACCTCGATCAGTTTTCCATGACCCGATTTTTGGCGTAAGGGCAGAATTTGCCAAGTGTTCGTTTGCCCTAAAGGCCTGTCGTTGAAAGTATGTATCGTTTAGACTCCCAGCTGCCAAGATATCTAAAGTCGTTCCTTGCTTGACCAGTCGAAGGGGAGGGGATTCCGTTCGCCTTCCTTTCTCGAGTTGGGCCAGCATTTGCTACACTTCAGCCGAAATCCTGCGTCATGCGTCTGCCTACTTCTCCGGAAGGGCCTACACCCGTCGCCGCCCCGCTTCCGGGCAGGAACTTGAGGTGGTCGGAGTCATACTCCACCCGCATTTGCAGACGTTTCTCATGACGTACGCGTGTGTCGGCATCTACTTGGCGATTCTAGCAGGGTCTTGGGGAGAGCCAGGGGCCCGTGCGGTGATCTGTATGTTTGGATTGGGGCCGTGGCTCGAGGGACGCGAGGCAGGGCTTGCGGTTGTATTTGGAAGGGGCGAGAGCGATGGCCATCTTTCGACATGTTTGATACATTACGTTACGGCATCGCTTAGGTGCCATTACAGTCGAGCATCGAATGACGAGACCTCATCCCGGCTATTCAAACAAATGTTCCCTCACAGAGCCTGTATTTCTGGAGCTCTTTCCCTGGGAGTAATCAGACGAGTGGTCCAGTGTGGTCGGGTCTCGCCTGATGCCCCGTCGGTGCCCGCCCATGAGCGCCTCCTGGGCGACGCGAGCGCCGGGCGGGCGTGGCGGAGTCGCGCTTGATGCCCGTCTGGTGCCCGCCCGTGCCTGGGCGACCCGTGCGCTGTGGGTGGGCGTGGCGGAGTTTCGCCTGGCGCCCTGGCTGGTGCCTGCCAGTGGGCGCCGTGAGGGCGCCGCGTGCGTCGGTTTCGGCGGCGAGCGAGGGGGGGGGGAAACGAGAAGGAGAAGGCCTTCTCAGAAGGCGGCGGGGCTTCTCACAGAAGCCCTCGAACCTTCTGAGAGGTGTTCTGTGTCTCAGGGGAAGGCGTCGACAACTTCTCAGAAGTCCGGGGGGCTTCCGAACCTTCCGGGAAGGAAGGCCCGGTCCTTCTCGCTTGCCCCCCCTGGCTCGCCGCCTACGGTGTTGGCTGTGGCGGGGCGTCGTTCGGTGCCATGTCGTGGCCGCCTCGTGGGCGGGTGCCCGTGGTTGCCTTGTGAGCGCCCACGGGCGCCACAGAGTTTGTGCCACATGTGGCATGGCGTGCGCCCACGGCAGTGCACACCACCTGGTTTACACCGCGTGGCTTACACTAAACAGCCTGCACCGCACAGCCTGCACCACACCGCTCACACCACACAGCTGACACCACATGGCTTGCAACGCATAGCTTACATCGGAGGTTGGGGGGTGAGATCGCAGCGGAACAGAGACCCCCAACCGGGAAATCGTTTCGTTTCGTTCGTGTCGCACGTGCGGGCGAGGTGAAGCTGCGCGAACGCGCGAGAGGAATAAACCCGCCGCTGCTAGGGCGAAGTCAAGACAAATGATTCTCCTCCGCCCGCCCGTCCGGCGGTGGCTTGCGGTGTCCCGCGGTGTCCCGTGGTGTCCCGTGGTGTCCCGCGGTGTCCGCCGTTGTCAGGGCGAAGTCAAGACAAATGATTCTCCCCCGCCCGCTCGCTCGCTCGTCCGTCCGTCCGGCGGTGGCTCGCGGTGGCCCGCGGTGTTCCGCGGTGTCCCGTAGTGTCCCGTGGTGTCCCGTGGTGTCCCGTGGTGTCCCGTGGTGTCCCGTTGAGTGAGATCGATAGTGAGATTGACATGGAGATCGATAGTGAGATCGATGTGATGCCCCGAGGTGTCCCGTGGTGTCCCCGGAAGTGAGATTGATAGTGAGATCGATAGTGAGATCGACAGGTGTCCCGTGGTGTCCCGTGGTAGTGAGATCGATAGGTAGATCGATAGTGAGAACGATGTGGTGTCGCGAGGTGTCCCGTGGTGTCCCGTGGTGTCACGTGGTGTCCCATGGTGTCCCGTTGAGTGAGATCGATAGTGAGATCGATAGTGAGATCCATAGCGAGATCGATGTGGTGTCCCGAGGTGTCCTGTGGTGTCCAAAAAGTGAGGCCGATGTTGAGATCGATAGTGAGATCGACTGGTGTCCCGTGGTGTCCCGTGGTGTCCCGTTGAATGAGATCGATAGTGAGATCGATTGAGTCAGATGTTGGTTCCCCCCCTCCCCCCCCTCCCCACAACCTCCCTATCACCCGAAGGCTGGTCGTATAGGTAGCATATGTTGTATCTCCCAGCGCGCACACGATGTATCTAGCACACATAGTTGGCACTACCTCTTTACACGCCAAATCTCTACAGCATACACGTATACCACACATATCCTTACCACCAAGCGTGTACTAAATGGGTGTCACCGCACAGCATTCACCATATAGTTTGCATTGCGTAGTTTACACCACGCACACCTTACGCAACATAGATCTCACCACATAGCTTACACAACCAGGGTCCGATAGCTCAGGGAGATGCGCCCACGCTTGCAAACATTGTCAGTACATTCGCGCCTCGACGTACTAGCTTCGTTTACCTTCAATTGGCCGTTGGCAGCCAAATGAGATTACACTGTTTTGGCTCACACGCGCTTCCTTGCTGCTGTAGTGAAGGTTTTGAGCGAACGCCCTATATCTCTATTGTCGAGGCCTTTGGCTGGTGCCGCCGATCCGTGGCGCTTCCGATGGTGCTCGGGTTCGCTTGGAGACCTATGGGGCCGTCTTGGGGCCTCTTGGGGCCGTCGTAGGAGAGGCCTCTTGAGGGGGACAGGGTAACCTCCAACAAAGGTCCCTCGACAAGGGACGGGCCCTTTGAGCCTCTTGGGGGCTTGTTGGAAGCCTTTTTGGCTGTCTCGGGACTTTCCTTGCCCGTCGGACGCCGTCAGAAGCTGTCTTGGGCGCCTCGCTGTGCAGTCTGGGAGCACTCTGGGGGGCGCTTCAGGGCCATCTTGGAGGCTATCTTGGCCATCTTGGGGCCTATGAGGCCGTCTGGGGACCCTCTTGGGACCGTCTTAGGGGCATCTTGGGCCGCCATAGGGCCATCTTGGAGGCATCCGGGGCGGTCTTTGGGGCTTTCGCGGGCCGTCCGAAGGACGAAACGAATGAAGCGCCCAAATCCTTCAAAAGCAAACAACGTATCAATGATTTGGGCCACTTCGGGTTTTTTTGTGAGAGCATCCTGGGCCTTCCTGGGTGCATCTGAGACCGTCTTGGAAATATTTGGCGGCCATCTTGAGCTCTCTGGCCCCCGGATTGGGAATTTGGCTGATTTTTACGTGTCCCTGCCCCGCCCAGAGAACGGAGTACCGAGACATCCCGGCCCCCCCCCACAGCAGAGCTGAAGCTCAGGCTGTAGGTTGTAGCTCAGGCTCTTTGAAACTCACACGCCGGATCGGCAGATCTGCACCTATATGTCCACATCTACGTCATATACATATATACATACATACATACAGACAGACGTGTATGCACATACAAGTTTATTTATTTATTTATGTATATACGTATATATACATATGTGTATATATATATATATATATGTGAATCGATCGCTGGTTTCACGCTATCCCATTGGACTGGCACGCGCTGCCAGGAGTCATGTCTAATCGAGGATCGATGAGCATCAAGAGGTGGAGATCTATAGTTGGGCGATCGGAAAGGTGGCTCAATAGTAGGGTGTGGATGCGTAAAAACCTGCATGGTACAAGACCCCCCTGGCATGTTGATAAGCAGGGCGTTCGAGCATGTCGGGAGGCCAAGTAATTTGGAGCGAAGCTGGGAGCGAAGCACACAATTGATTTGGCTAGCCTTTGGTAAACTGAAATAACTCGCAGTGCGTGGTGCGATGTCTGTGCAAGTGCGGTTCCGGCACGAAAGTAGGACATATCATGGTTCTGCGTCGCCCCGTGGAGTAGATTCTGGTTCGGCGTATTATCGCAATGTGCCAGATCGTTCGGCAAGGCCACTGCAGCGTCAGCGCCGTGGAGTGAGGTTCAGAGAAGTCACCAAGCTGAGCATATTACATTTGGAGCGGTTCTATGTATTTTCGTTGTTCACTGCATTTATCGACGCGTACTTGGTATTCAGGATTGCACGGGTGGTGGCCGTTGCAGGCGATGAGCGCATGGACGAGGGTGCATGGGGAGTGCTGGTTTGTCGAGGATGGTAGAATTCTGCTCGACACGCACTGCTTGACGCATGGCGCGCACCGTGTCGTTGCGGGAAGGGTTTGTGAATGCAGGCGTGTTGCATAGCGCTCCGCCTAGCATATCTTGCGTATCCTGCCAAGTCGACCATGTTATTTTCAATGATCAGTGTTGGGTGTACGATCGGCCGTGATATCGGCACACTCGCACGTCATTGTTGAAGAGGGCGGCAGAGACAAGGGGAGAAGCATACATATATCAAAGTAGTATGGAAAGGCAAGGAAGAATCATGGCCACAACGCGAAGTCAAATGGAAAATAGTGTGAGAAATAGGAACAGAGAGAGAACACGTAAGACATACTATTGTGACGGAGGGCGCCCGATCGTCATTTTTGATACACGTTTGTGGAGGTGGATGAGCGGCGAGTGCTCCTTGATTGTGCTTCTGGTTTCTGACGCAGTCTTGTGTCGGCAAATGCACGGGGCACGCAAAGACGATTTGCATCTTTTCTACCTGATCCAAGGGGAGTGGGAAGGATTGCCACGGAGGGCCGCGTGTGCACCGCATTTGTGGACCTGCGCTGGTTGCGAAGAGGCGCTATGTTTGTCTGCACGTTCGTGAGGTTGGACCCCGCCTTCGCGCGCTCGCTTCGTAGTCGGATAAGCGTTTCCGATTGGCTGCACCGTCGTCTCACGTCATCAAGAAGAATTTTAGTGCAGTGCCTGAGTCTTCGTAGAGCGTACATCGAGTCCGAGGCACGTAGCATTGATGCAACATGCGTGTCGCAGTCATCCCTTCACGACTTGTTCATGATTTGTGGCCGCACATCATCACACTTGATAGCGCCGTATCTGTCATAGGCATGGAGAGTTCACGGGATGTTGCATTCCAAATCAAGGGTTCGTGCTGTGCCATCCATCATCGTATGTATAAGTGTGCACACGTATGGGTATGGAGATGCAGATGTAGGACAGTGTATCTCCGATTGCTTGCGGCAAGTCCCGCCACTTTACCGGCCCAGTTGTCTTGGTGGCCTACGACGGACATCGGGATGATGATAGTTATGATGATGATGGTGATGGTGATGGCGATGGTAATGACAATAATGATGATGATGATGATGATGATGATGCTGATGATGATGATGATGATGATGATGATGATGACGATGGTGATGGTGATAATGACGATGATGACGATGATGACGATGATGACGATGGTGATGGTGATGGTGATTGTGATTATGATCGCGTGATCCCTTCGCCCGCACATTATGCGGAAATGTGGCGTTGCGCGCTCCGCGCACGTGATGGCGCCGAAAGGAGGCAGGCACCGTACAGCGCGCGTTCGACGGGGCGCACTGTCCCCGAACTGCTATCCAGCCTGATTCACCAGGCCAGCGGCCTCTGATCAAGGCAGCACGGCTTCAGGCAAAGGCTATGCAATGAGCGAGAAAGTGAAGAAGATAAACTCAGGGCTCACGTAGTCCATCGAGTAGCTGCACACGAATGTGATAAGAAAGTGAAGTGGACAATTTCTGAGAGCACGTAAATTGTCGCGTAGCTGCACATGTAAGAGAAATCGAGAGTTAGTTATTGTTCGCTGCATATTCGGGGCGGTCAGAAACGAAAAGGATAATCTCATGACTCGCGTCACCGCGCAGCTGCACGTAATGAGTTGAGGAGAAGTGAAGTGGAGAATCCCTTCAAGTAATCGTCGCGTAGCTGCACACGTATGCAAAAGTGAAGCGGATAATCTCATGGCTCACGCTGCAGTGCGTAGTTGCACACGTAATTTACGAGAAAAACGTACGACCCGCATGGCTACACACGATCATCGCCACCATTGTCAGCACCGCCTGTCACGCGAGTTGCGCCTCTATGTACTCTGTCCACTCCTGCCAATCCTCCTCCATGTACGCTGGTGGCGCGCTGCCGCGCATGTGCCCGGCTCCGATCTGCTCCAGGCAGTCGAGACCGCAAAAGCGCCAATCTCTGAGATTCGCCAGATGCAAGATCAATGTCATTTCGTCCTCCTTGGCCGTCTTCGCGAGCCTGCACACTTTGGCCAACGGCTCCGCGTCCTCCTGCTTCTCGCACGCTGTAAAGTCGTCCTTCATCTTCTTCAGGTTCTCTTGGTTCTGGCCGCCTACGGCTGGTGTCCCCTCGAGCAGGGCGCCGAAGATCAGCGTGGGTGGGGGTCCCAGCGGTTGCATCTCGGGATTCTCCTTCTGGGTGCAGAACTCGTCGACGCCCTGAGCGAAGGCCTCCTGCTCTTGCTGCACCGCGACCACGAACGTATGATTATTCGGGTGGTGGTGATGGTGTTGATGGAGGTGGTGGTGATGATGGGGATGAGGACGTGGACGGTGATGATGATGCTGATGATGATGGTGGTCATGATGATGATGTTGATAATGATGCTGATGCTCATGATGACACTGATGATGCTGATGATGCTGTTGATGAGGATGATGGTGATGATGATGATAGTGATATTGTTGTTGGTAATGACGATGGTGGTGGTGGACATGCTGATGAGTATGGTGATGTTGATACTGATGATCATGCTGCTGATGGTGATGCTGATGATGATGACGATGATGAGATCGAGGACGATGAAGAGGAGGAGGGTGACGAGGATGAGGAGGAGTAGGACGACCAATGCTGCCGTCACACGTGACACATTTCAGATTCACTTCTTGCTGAGGCCTTATGGACCTCATTTGAGCAGTCTTGGGGTCTCGTTTGAGCCTCTCGGGAGCCGTTATGGATCTTTCAGTTATAGCCTATTGGGGCCTCTTGGGAGCTTCGTGGGGCGGAAGGCTGGAATTGTTGGCTCGTGTTTCCCTTGCCCCCTTGGGCCGTCTTCTGCGCCCTCCACATGGACATCAATGACTTTCGCCGCTCGGGGCCCTCTTGGGAAGTCTCTTGGGGCTTCCTTGGGATGTCTCGAAGGCCGCCGCCCAAATCAGCTCCTGAGGGCGCGAATACGCGATAAGAGCGGCGCAATAGAGCCCAAGGGCGGCTCGAACATGAAGATTGCCCAAACAGTCTCCAAGGCGCTCCCTGAGCGGACCCCTCGCAACATGCCTTAAGGAACGCCCACATGTTTGACACATCCGCGGTGGGGGTCTTAGCAGGGTCCAAGACGGCACACGATCGCCCCGAGACTTGGGTCCCTAAGAGGGCCCTGCTAAGCCTTCTAGGCAATTCTGCCGCAACTGATCATGATTTGACACAAGCTCCTTATGGTTGGCATACGATTCACCTAACTTGTTTCTCGTTCAAGACGGTCCAGCAGCCTCCTCAGAGGCCCCCAGGAGCCCCAAAAGAGGCCCCAAGAGGCCCAAAGGGGCCCTACGAGGCTGCAAGAAGCGCCCGAGAAGCATGCCAAGAGACCTCAACAGGTATCCAAGAAGTCTTTGACCAAAAATCGGGGGACGGTGGCGGGAAGGGCCGAAGACCAGTAGATCCGCCGCCCCCTGCTTGCAGGGGTGCACGGCGTGCTGGACGAGCTGTTAGGTTTTGGTTTTGGTTCTTTTTCCAAAAGAACTCCCCAGTGGGCTCCGGCAGAACCCGCCACCGTGCGCAAAACGGCCGTTTCGCTCGGGACATCCTCAAAAAATCGCGAAGATGGCCCAAGATGGCCTCCAAGTCCGCCCGAGATGGTCCAAGACGGCCTCCAAAACGGCCCAAGAGAGTCCAAGACGGCCCAAGACGGCCCAAGAGGCCCCCCAGAGGCCTCCCAGACGGCCCAAGAGGCCTCCAAGAGGTCCTCCAGGAGAGTCCGAAGAGGGCAAAATCATTGATTTTCCCTTGGTTTTTGAAGGATTTTGGCATTTGCGCCTTTTCGGCTCTCCGACGGCTCAAGACGGCCCAAGAAGCCCCCAAGATCGCCCAAGAGGCCCCCAAGAGAGCCCCCTGATGGCCCAAGTGGCCTCCAAGATGGCCCCTAGAGGGCCCCAAGAGGCCCAAGAGGCCTCCAACACGCCCAAGATGGCCTCCAAGACGCCCAAGATGGCCTCCAAGACGGCCCTGGAGCGCCCCAAGAGGGTCCCCCGTTGGCCCAGACAGGCCCCCAAAACGGCTCCCGACGGCGTCAGACGTGCCAGGAACCCACCAAGATGGCCGAAGTTGGCTCGAAGCTGGCCCAAAAGGGCCCAAGAGGCCCCCAAGAGGGCCTCCAGGAAGGCCAAAAGATGCCAAAATCACTGATTTTCCAAAGGTTTTTGATGGATTTGGGCATTTCCCTTCTTTCGGCCTTCCGACGGCCCGAGACGGCCCAAGAGCCCCCAAAGATCGCCGAAAGATCGCCCAAGAGGCCTCCAAGACGACGACGATGACCATCAAGACGCCCACGTGTTCCCCGAAGGCTTTCCAAACCGATTCGGGGAACACATGGTCCGATGGCTTGGCAGGTCTGGCCTCAACGTTCGGCCACATAGGCGCTTCCACAAAGGCAGGGGGCGGCGGTGATTCGCCGTAGGCGTCTTCGATCCGCCGCCCCCTGCTTGCAGGGGTGCACGGCGTGCTGGATGTTTCAGGTTTTGGTTTTGGTTCTTTTTCCAAAAGAACTCCCCAGTGGGCTCCGGCCCGTCCCGCCACCGTGCCCAAAAACGGCCGTTTCGCTCGGGACATCCTCAAAAAATCGCGAAGATGGCCCAAGATGGCCTCCAAGTCCGCCCGAGATGGTCCAAGACGGCCTCCAAAACGGCCCAAGAGAGTCCAAGACGGCCCAAGACGGCCCAAGAGGCCCCCCAGAGGCCTCCCAGACGGCCCAAGAGGCCTCCAAGAGGTCCTCCAGGAGAGTCCGAAGAGGCCAAAATCATTGATTTTCCATTGGTTTTTGAAGGATTTTGGCATTTGCGCCTTTTCGGCTCTCCGACGGCTCAAGACGGCCCAAGAAGCCCCCAAGATCGCCCAAGAGGCCCCCAAGAGAGCCCCCTGATGGCCCAAGTGGCCTCCAAGATGGCCCCTAGAGGGCCCCAAGAGGGCCCAAGAGGCCTCCAACACGCCCAAGATGGCCACCAAGACGCCCAAGATGGCCTCCAAGACGGCCCTGGAGCGCCCCAAGAGGGTCCCCCGTTGGCCCAGAAAGGCCCCCAAAACGGCTCCCGACGGCGTCAGACGTGCCAGGAACCCACCAAGATGGCCGAAGTTGGCTCGAAGCTGGCCCAAAAGGGCCCAAGAGGCCCCCAAGAGGGCCTCCAGGAAGGCCAAAAGATGCCAAAATCACTGATTTTCCCAAGGTTTTTGATGGATTTGGGCATTTCCCTTTTTTCGGCCTTCCGACGGCCCGACACGGCCCAAGAGCCCCCAAAGATCGCCGAAAGATCGCCCAAGAGGCCTCCAAGACGGCGACGATGACCATCAAGACGCCCACGTGTTCCCCGAAGGCTTTCCAAACCGATTCGGGGAACACATGGTCCGATGGCTTGGCAGGTCTGGCCTCAACGTTCGGCCACATAGGCGCTTCCACAAAGGCAGGGGGCGGCGGTGATTCGCCGTAGGCGTCTTCGATCCGCCGCCCCCTGCTTGCAGGGGTGCACGGCGTGCTGGATGTTTCAGGTTTTGGTTTTGGTTCTTTTTCCAAAAGAACTCCCCAGTGGGCTCCGGCCCG